TCAGATGTCATAAGCCTCCATTATATGACTCCAAGCCCCCAGCCTGTGTGCTCAGCCCAGTATTTGTGTGGGTGACCTGAAGGAGAGGGAGCATATGAACATTAATGCATTTAAATTGATAATGTGATATTGACATTTAACAAATGCTGTTCTTGTTCTCTTGTAGAGTTTGGTTCATTTCTGCCATGGCAGACACAGAACAGGGAAATCAAACCTCCCTCACAGAGTTCATCCTCCTGGGTTTTGGGACTGTTCCCAAACTGCAGATTCTTCTCTTTATGGTGTTCTGTGTGATTTACATTGTGACCATGGCCGGGAACATCCTCATTGTTGTGCTAGTTGTGGCTGATCAGCACCTTCACACCCCCATGTACTTCTTCCTGGGGAACTTGTCCTGCTTGGAGACCTGCTACACCTCCACCGTCCTGCCCAGGATGCTGGCCAGTCTCCTGACTGGGGACAAGACCATTTCTATTGGTGGCTGCATCACACAATGTTACTTTGTTGGCTTCTTTGCAGCCACCGAGTGTTATCTCCTGGCAGCGATGTCTTATGATCGGTACCTAGCGATATGCAAACCACTGCATTATGCAACCCTTATGAATGGCAGTTTCTGCCTCCAGCTAGCAGCTGGGTCTTGGATAAGTGGGTTACTGGCTAGTTCTATAGTAACAGGTATGATGTTACAATTACCTTTCTGCGGCCCCAATGAAATTGATCATTTCTTCTGTGAATTTACACAAATAATAAATCTCTACCGCAACGACATCTACCAGGTGGAGCTTGTAATCACCATTGTGGCTGCTTTATTCACCCTGCCCCCGTTTGCTTTAACTGGGACATCCTACCTGTGTATCATCTCCACCATCCTGCGAATCCCTTCCACCACCGGGAGGCAAAAGGCATTTTCTACCTGCTCCTCTCACCTCATTGTGGTGACAATTTTCTATGGGACCCTGATCATTGTGTATTTGCTACCAAACACCAACACACTCAGAGACCTCAACAAAGTGTTCTCTGTCTTCTACACAATTCTGACTCCTATGGCCAATCCCTTCATATACAGCCTGAGAAACAAAGAGGTGAAAGAGGCCCTGAGAAAAAAA